ATTTTTTCACACTTACAACTGTTGCAGCATCCCTGTGGGTCATCAGAATTTGGCTGCTTGGTAACTAGCTCTTATTTATGACGTCTGCAGTGTCCTGGGATCATCACCTTCTTACAAGCCAAATCAATGGGAAAACCAGATTCACTTAACAACCATTACTAACTTAACAACTGTTCCAAGACAGTTCATAAAATGGGACAAATTCACTTAACAGCTGTCTCGCTTAGCAACAGAGTTTTTGGGCTCAACTGTGGTTGTAGGTTGAGGACTATTTCTAGTCCTCAACTTATGATTATGATGGATCACCAAAAAGCTACATAGGTCCCAGGTCTTCCACATCCCCTCCATGGTCACATGACCACATTTTGGGCACTCAAGAGCGTGTCCATATTTATGGTTGTTTGCAGTCTCCCATGGTCATGTGACTACGATTTATGACATTTTTGCCCAAAACTGGCATTTACTGTACTTGCTGTTTCTAGCAAAAACCACCCTATAGCAAACAATGGATTTGCTTAATGACTGCTGTGTTTGCTTAACAATCACTGCAAAAAATATCATAAAATTGAGTCTGGTCATCCTGGTGACCCACTTTACAACTATCATGACTTATTATCTAAATTAAGGGGTTAATTCAAGGACTACCTGTATACCTTCCACGTATCAAATGGATTGTTCATTTTGATTCATAGGATTGTTCGGTAAATGTTGTTATTTTATACAGTTAAATTGCTCGATAAGGGCCTTAATGTGAATAATATATTATAACATGGTAAAAGTATGCAGAACATCACTGTAAACTATATATTGAACTTAATCCAGAGCTGAAGAATATACCTTTGTCTTTCTTCAAAAGTGTTAAAAAATATTGTATAATGTTGATTGTAAATCTTCACATATACAATGAGTGATGTGGAATGGACCAAACAAAATATGAAGCATTACAACAGAACAAAAGTAAAGAGAAAAATTGCTTAGTATGAATTATCTCTGCATTCTAGATCTTTCCATTACATATTTCAATAAATGAAATACAAAATACAAATATTAAAGCTAAATATGCAGGTATCAAAAATTATCTTGGCCCATTATAAAAGTGTTCACAAAAGTAATAAAATAATTTTACAATTATAAACTGCTAGCATTCATGTGCAGAATAGCTAGATTTTTTGCTACCTATTTTCCTTTATCATCCAGCCCAAGGAAAAGATGCATATTTCAAAAACTGGCATCTTCATGCTTTGTAGTTTTATGTATTCCTAATAAGTCATTCCTTCACTGACATTGTGACCTTTATACTTTGTAACCATCTATAAATAGTGTGTGTGTGTGTGTGTGTGTGTGTGTGTGTGTGTGTGTGTGTTTTCACTTACTAGTGACAAGGTGATGCTTCCTAGGAAGAAAAAGTAAAATAGCACATTGTTTTGTTTACATCCGCCCCCATGAACAGTGGGTAGGATGTGGTGGGTGAGAGAATTTTCTCCTCTGGCCATTTGTGATTTAAAATTTTCCTTTTTTCACTTTAAAGAGGAAAGAACATGACTACACCTGCCTGAAGCTGACATACCCAATAATTCAGTTCAGCCTTGGGTCTGAAGAAAGGCTCCTACTTGATAGGGGCATATGCATGCATGCATGCACACACACAGAAAGACAGACACACATCCTATATTCAGTGATATAAGTTATTATGCCCATCATAACTAATTGGAGCAGCTTAGGAACCTCATGAATAAATAAGTTCGTAAGTGCAATCAGAGAATTGAGACCACACAGAATTGTCAAGTAAATGTGCAGCGGATATATCTAATACTCATGACAAGGAAAAGAAATGTCAAAAGATTGTTGACTCAAGAGAACAGAGGAAATGGCCTAGGATTTAAAGCCTGGGTTGAGGTATGTTACAGTGAAATCACAGCTTAATGGGCCTTTGCTCTGATGCAATGGACATTTTTTTTCATTCAGTTGTTACACCATTTAACATCCATTAAATGAATATTTGTCTGTTAAATAGAGGTCTTCCAGGAAATGACATTATTGACAACAACTATGTAATAATTCAAATGACATAAATTAATACAATAAAGCACAACCATAATTTATGGTCATTCAGATTTAATGGACATCCTATCCCCTTTAATGGGTTGTTAAATTGATGTATACACATACATATATGTATCTCTCTGTTCGATATCAAGTCCTGGATTTTGTAACAGGCAAGATCTGCATTAATAGTTCTTTGTAATAAAAATACATTATCCAACTATGTTGAGTCTGTGAAGCTTCTGCTCCTTAGTTAATAACTGAATATGGAAGTGATTTTCTGGAGTGTAAAAATATTCAAGATTGTTGTGGTTTGTGTGAAGTCTGATATACAGAATCAGCACTTCTGTATCTATTTACTTGGAAAGCTCTGCTTAAAGGTCTTTGATAGTGGTAGATTTATATAGGAGAATATTCGGTAAATATAGCTTCAATTTCTGGTTCCAAAATGATAGAATAAGAATACATAATCATTGTTGGTTACCATACCAAATGCCCAGTGAATCTCTCTGCAGTTTATAATAAGAGATAAAATCAAAGTACCTGAAATATTAAAACAATTAAAATCACCAGTTGAGAAGCTCTTTTAGCAGGTTCTTTGCATGGCTTTTTTTTAAAAAAGGAAAATAAAAAGATTAGGCTACCAGTTTATTATTACAAAGTGGAGCGCCCACAGAAAAAAGACTCCATAATGAGATGCTATGAGATACAGCATGACAATTGTAGACAAATCTTTTCAGATGATCTCGAAGACTGAATTGGTAGGGGGACTGTCTTATGGACCCCATATGTTCTCTCAGGTTGTCTGGACTCAAGCCACACAGAAGTTTAAAGCCATTTGGTTTTTACCTGGATGTTGCCCACTGTAATGCTTTTTACAAAGTGATACATATGTTCTTCTCAGTTCTCTACTAAATATAGGATTAGAACCAAGGGGAGCCCCACATAGGTCAAATTATAATAGACAAGTCTGGACATAAGATTACATCCAACAATGTAAAGTAATTCATACAGCATTATTTACTGATCAAACTTGTCTGCTAGTAGCTCTCTAAAGGCGACTTATATACATGTGTTTCCAGGCCCTTATGCTGCTTCATTCCTTCAAACTCTAAGTAGTTTAGAGCAGAGAGTCAGTAATAAATAAAATAAAATAATCAAAAATATCAATACATGATGTATATATCTCTAGATAATATAAACCAGGGATGAAATCCAGCAGGTTCTGACAGGTTCTGGAGAACTAGTAGCAGGAATTTTGAGTACTTTGGAGAACCGGTAGCAGAAATTTTGAGTAGTTTGGAGAACCGGCAAATGCCATCTCTGGCTGGCACCAGAATAGTGTGGGAATGGAAATTTGCAGTATTCTTCCCCTGCCACGTCCCCCAAGCCATGCCCACCAAGCTACACCATGCCCACCAAGCCATGCCCACAGAACTGCTGTAAAAAAATGTGAATTTCATCACTGGTATAAACCATCTGTCAAACAATCAGTACATTGCATCAGTACTGATAGTGCCCTTATACATGCTATGATTAGATTCAGACTTAACTCCATCATCCTGAAGATCCTTGGAAAAGCCAAGCTTTAACAGCTTGCTATAAATTAAGACTGAAGAATACAGATCTTATTTCTGGTGGTGGGGCATTCTACAAAGGGGAAACTTTTGCAGAAACCACTTGCCTTTGAATTTCCATCATGCCTCAGCAGGTATTCTTCTGCAGGCACAGAGTGGATGGATGGACAGTCTATTGGAAGGAAGTGGCCTTGTGTATAATTGGGCTGCAGACCATTAGCCACCATACCCAGCAAGAGACCCATGTTGGGACATTGATTATATTATCATGCAGGTTTTCCATGTTGTAAATCCTAACTAGAGGTCAAGATGGTAACGTCTTTCTCTCTCTGTTCTTCGATCCATTCGTTCCCATATATATCATGGAGGGATTCCCCTATAAAATGTAGTCTCTTTACCAATAATCTATTTCCAAAACTTATGAAGTAGACTAAGATCAATTTGAAGTATTCTTCATCACTCTAGTTAGGTATCTGTTTACAAATATATTCCTGATGTAGAGTAAGTCATTGCCATGAAAATTAAAAGTCTTCCTTTGGAACTTTCCAACTTTTAGGATTCTGTAGCAGTTGCTTTCCCTCCTATTGTATAATAATAAAAACTATTTTAATTAGGGAACTTTTTTTAAAAAAAAAAGTTAATATAAACAACTTAAGTCTATGACACCAACGACATGACTTCTAATATGTTTGAACAAAGAAGGGACACATTGCTGATATATTATTTTCAAAATTAGCTATCCAGCTTTACAGGACATATATTTGCATTTTGATCTGACTGTTGTTCATTCAAGACCTGCTGCAAACTACAAATAATTCTTGCAATGTATATGTACAATGTACAGGTAGTCCTCGACTTATAACCAAAATTGAGCCCCAAATTTCTGTTGCATTTTACAACTTTTCGTGCCACGGTTGCTAAATGAATCACTGTGATTGTTTAGCTAGTAACACAGTTGTTAAGTGAATCTGACTTCCCCATTGACTTTGCTTGTTAGAAAGTCATGAAAAGTGATCACCTGACCCGCAAGACACAGCAAGTGTCATAAATATGAGTCAATTGCCAAGTATTTGAATTTTTATCAAGTGAGCATGGGGATGCTGCAACAGTCATAAGTGATAAAAATGATCATAAGTCGCCTTTTTCAGTGCCATTGTAACTTTGAATGGTCACTAAATGAACTGTTGTAAGTCAAGGACTACCTGCTATGTGGTTATACATGTAGCATATACATTTGCTTTATAGCCCACCTCTCTATTTATACAGGAGCTCAAGGTGGCTTAATAACAACCAAGACAAAATGCAAAACATAAAAGGTGACCATCAAATCCATTAAAATCAACAATGGTATATTGACATTGACCCTTCTTCTGTCCACAGTCTCTGTGCTGTGAAATCAAGCAGAGGCGTCGAGGGGTAGGCTCAGTGTTACGTTTGTGCCAACACCTCCTTGATGATCAGGATACCTGTAATCTGAGTGCGGACCATCAGTCGATGCAGCTGATAATTGTAAATCTTGAAAGAAGGTGGGAAGCTATCATCATGCAAGCAGTCCAGTGGCAAACTAGATTGCAGAAGAAGTTGGCAAAGCATCCAGTAAGTGATATCTGTCTGACTTACACCCCCACTCCCTTCCCATCCATTCCCATTGGACTTATTGTTGCATTGTCTCAACCTTTTTTAAAAAAATTATGCTATAGCCAGGTATAATAGGAGCCAAATAATTTCTTATAAGTCACATCTTAATTTCCACATAGATGGAATCAACTGATTAATGGCTTAGGCAGAAATTATTTTAAAGAATACAATTCTGTATTTTACATTGTGTAATGTCTGTACTGAATGAAATGATTTCTGGAGAACAAAAACTAATTGTAGATAAATAACATCAGTCCTTCTTAAGATTCAGTCCAAATTTTTTCCCTTTTTTTTTTTTGCAAATCAGGTGTAGACATTTTTTTAGCATCTGGAATTGCCTTTTTAAGGATAATTTTCATTTAGCATTGTGATAGGGAATGGGGCAGGGGCATTATTATATTATGCAAGTCTATGGAAGTGGTTTTTGCAGTTCATAAAGGGTTTTAGGTATGTATTATTTACTTGCCAGTGACCGCCAGTTCATATCTAAGTACTTTGTGTTATTTCTTCTGCTATAGCACCATTGCCACATTCAACACTAATAAAATCATAGAGGAAAGGAAAGGAAAAAGTGAGGTCATTAATGTTGTGTTTGAGCTTAATAGGTACAGTTCTTGACTTATGACTGATTGTTTACCAATGGTTCAAAGTTACTATGAACCATCCTCAGAGTTACTTATGACTTGTTTTCAGAGTTACAAAGCTGCACACACCCCCACTGTCAAATGATCACCTTTTGGGCACTTGGCAATCAGCTCACTTTTACCACTGCATACCACCGTCAGATGATCAAGATTTGTGACTTTTTTGCCGATTTCCAGCATTTCCTCCAGTTTCCAGCAAAAACATCCTTGAGGAAAATGCATCTGGTATACAGTGATTGCTTAATGACATTGTAATTAAAAAAAAAAACCAGTTGGAACTTCAAATCTTCTCATTTATCATATTATGATCACAACAACTTACGACTGAAATTATGGGCCCACTGTTGTCATAAATCAAGAATTATCTGTATCAGGATTGTTTTACGTCTGTTCCAATCCACTGTACTGCAGAACAATCCTATTGTCCTTGGCAAATATTAGTACTGCCTTCCATTTTCTTGGATTTTAATCATTGATTGACAGATAGATAGATAGATAGATAGATAGATAGATAGATAGATAGATAGATAGATAGATAGATAGATTGTTTATTTATATGCCGCCCTTTTCCCTGGGGGGACTCAGGGCGGCTCACAATCAAAAGGGAAGGGGGGACAGACATTTACATATAAGACAGTACATGCCTCCCACCCCCACCTCTTGCAGTCGTCGCAGAAGGATACCATGGTCGATGGTATCGAAAGCCGCTGAGAGGTCAAGGAGAACCAGGATAGAGGCGTGGCCTCGATCCCTGGCTCTCCAGAGGTCATCGGTTAATGCGACCAAAGTGGTTTCTGTGCTGTAACCAGGTCTGAAGCCGGACTGGAGTGGGTCCAGATAGCTAGACAGGGCCTGTTGGGTTTAATAATTTCAGGTTTTTCACATTTCTAAAATAAAGAGCAGAACTTAAGAATAGCTCTGCTGGATTAGGCCAAGATCCATCTTTGTTCTGGATCAACGTCCATTTTGTTTCTCAGAGTGGGCAATGAGGTGCTTTTCTAGCCTCAACCATCTTTGTTCTCCTGCCATTAATTTGGAAGCCAGATGTGTTTGAACCATTGATAGACCATAAATACATTCAATCACTATTTGAAGCTTTTAAAATTAGCTTTAAAATTTAAAGTTAATTCACTGATGGCAGCGAATTCCACAGGTTAATTATGCACTGTGGGAGAAGTGATTTCTAAAGAAGCAGACATACAGTATGGTTGCTGTCTTTGCAGAATTCACCTTTGTCCCCAACAGTCGTTTGATTTTGCATGAACAGCACACTTGAAGTTTGGCAACTCCAGCTAACCCTGCAGCAAACCATTTCTGTCTCACTTCCTATGTTCTCATACAATGTAGCTGGTGAATATATGACATATGGCTGGGAGCAGAGAAGATGATTGTTTTCTTTTTGTCTTGTTTCACTTAAAATACCTGTAACCAGCAGTGAGCTGTTCTTTTGCGTTGTGCTTCCATTTCAATTTCACCTTCTAGAAAGTCCTGTTCTCTTCTGCCACAAGCAGAGGCAAGGAGCAGCCATGGAAAACCTGGCAGGCTGCTGAACACACAAGAGTGCTGCTGATGGGGACCAGTTTTCTCTTTCCCAGGCAGGCAATTGCTTGGAGGTACTGTAGTACCTCTAAATAAGTGGATGCATGTTAATTAAAGGTGAGTGCTGTGTCTGCAGCAGGAATGAAGTAGTCTTGTGACTTTATTTGGATAGTAATTGATGGAGAGGTGAGGTAGAATGAGTGTACAAGCACTATGTTTTCTTTGTCTCAGGACTGGACAGAACTTCACAAGCTCCACACTGCTTTGTTCCCAGTTTGCCTGGGAAAACCTGGCCTTGTTTGTTGGACTGAATTATCTTTTACCTAGTAGGGAGCACAACCTGTTTCCTGCCAAGATATGGCAGCTATTAAAAATTCTTTCTAGGTTTGATTTGGAGCGCAGGCGATATTTTTGTTTTGTGGAGACTTGTATCTGCAAACATATGCACCATATAAAAACGTGGGCCTTAGTTTGTAAGTGTTTTTCCAGTGATGAAAGAGTTCTTAGAATCCAAATGCTCTGGTTGGAATTGAATTGCGTTAGCTTCTGCTGCATTCGCTGTCTCCCAATTCCAAGCTGGCATTTTACAGCATTTCCTTTCATTCAGTTCCTGTGTAGTCATTTCTTGGGTTGATCCCAAAATTGCTTTCTCTGCCTTGTCTATTTCCTTGAGCTTGATGTTGTGCCAGTCTTGGCAAATGAATAGTTTCCATGGGAAACTGTGTGTGTATGTGTGTTTTAATTGAGGTTGTCCAAAATATACTGTAATATATAAAACAAAGCGGATGTGTTTGCATCTCTGATGGCATCTTACTTGATATTATTAAGAGTCCCTGATATGGAAAAAGATTACTTGGATCATTACATCATGCAATATGGAAGGTCAGGAGCTATTTTCATCTTTTTTTTAAAGTGCTGTTCTAACATTTTCCTTTGTCCATTTTTTTTACTAATGGTATCTACTGGCATTCTATTGTTACTGCTCAAAGATTTAATTGAGTGTTTACTTTCTCTGTTTAATTTCAGTATTATATCTTTCTCCTCCTCCTCCTCCCCCACTCCCAAAGGAGGAAGGATTAAGTAAAGGAACTCCAGGTTGGGACTATTGGCTGGCTGTCCAAAATTCCTTTTTGGGATGAAAAGCACTGGGTGACCAAAAGACATGTTAAGCAATTGTTATTTTCTTTTCCCTGTGAATCCTGAATTTGCTTAACACAACCAGTGTTTTTGTATTTTCTAGAAAGAAGGACTTTATCCTTTAGTTCAACTTTCCCAAATTTGCATTAATGCATGATCCTTCTTTCCCCTCTTTTGAATGCACAACTGTTTTTAAGATAATACACCACACACAAACGCACACCATATCATGACTGTCATTTTTGTAATGATGCATACCAATTTCTCAATGTTCAAAACATGTGTATGAACAACATTCCCAAAGAATGTAAAATGAGTAAGCAACACTAAATTAATTCAATCCATCCAGTTCTCTAATTGCTAATCTTCCCTTTGGTTGCAAGCTCTCTTTCCTTCTCTAATGGTTCTGAAATATGTTACTTGTGTGTGTAATTCATAAGGATTTCTCAACTTCTCTTCCTCTGAGGAAGCCATTCCATTGTGTTGAATTAAAACTCCTTGAATTCTAAGCCATCCTGACCATTCTGGGAGTTGCTTTCGCTATCTATGAAAAATATCATTTTGAATAGAGTGCTCTAAATTTTGGATAGTAAACTAACTATGAAGTAATTCAGGGAATCTTTTTCTTAGAATAAAATATTCTGTTTTAAAACTGTGTTTGCATATGTGTGTCTGTGTACTTCTCCATAATTTATAGCTGTTCCATATAGTATTTTATATTCCAATGAAAACTTTTTAATACTTCATCAGTTGTGAAAGTGATATTTTAATACTCCTTTAATTGACAGTAACTGAAAGCTAATGTTTTCCCAGCTGAAACTTGGAAATGTTTAAACTATTCCTAATAAACACATGTAAATATGAACAATTTAGTATTTTGATACTTTGAAAAGAAAATGTCAATTGAAAAAGAAGCTTTCACACTTATTTTTCTTGCCTTCTTGTTTACTTTTTTTCTGAAGGCCAGTTTATTCATTAGACCCTTATATGCTATCTCTTTTTTTCATTTCCTGAGGAAAATGAAAACATAGAAGGCTTAACCAGGGATTGCTTTGATGCTTCTTTTGTCTCCTATTCAGGAAAAAAAAAGTAGACAGTGTGAAGTATTCACTCTTGTGTTTAAGCTACCAACTCACTGGCCAGATCTTGCTCTAAATCTATTCTTTCTAGAGGTATCCCTTATACACTGTATCATATTCCTGTCACTACTTTCCAGGCAGCAAACCGTGTGGGCTGCGTACACATATTTTACTAATCCAGAATGGTTGGTTTTCATTTAACATGTTTAGTTGCATCCTGCTATTGTGTGAATAAATGCATGGAATGATCTGTGGCTTAATGTTTTGTGAAGCCAGCAATTGTTGTTTGTTTCATAAACCATGGTTAAACAAACAAGGCATAATGCAATAGATAAACCCAGTCCATAGTCTTACTTCTGACTGAGTTTGCATAAGATTGCTCCTTAAATACATTTTGAAATATAAAAATACATTTTATTTATTTAACCACTCATTCCCAACATAAATCTGAGAATGAATTAAGGAAAAAAAACCTACAAAGTAAACATGTTATTATTCTTATTTATTTAAACTTATTGGACAGCAATTCTAGTGGACTTTTGAAAGGAATTTTGTCCTT